CAATCAGGGGGTCGCGTTTCCCTTGGAACTTTCCTGGCAATTTCCCGTGGAACGTTCGATATCGCGCTCGATTCTCGAATTATGAATGATGCCTCGCTATATATATATATATATATATATATATATATAGTCGAACACAGGAAGGGTACAAACACCGCTTACCATTCGTGACTCGGAGAAAGTGTTCGAGTGGAATGAGAAAACGAGAAGAGAAGAGAAGAAGAGGAGAAAGTGAAGACGACGGAGTAGGCGGATGGAAGGGTTGAAGGAAAAAGTAGATCAGCGGAGCGTTATAAGGGTCGTTTATAGATAGAGGGATTGTCTGAGATTTTGGGAATAGATCATCGACATCGAACGGCGACAGGATAATCCTTGGTATATATTTAGATTCTCGATCTCTTGAATATAACAATTTCTTTATTTACACATCTTATATCTTTGACGGTATCGTTTTATTTTCGTTACGAATAAATTACATCGTATTTAGATTCACAAGGATAAAATCGATCTAGCTAGGACTGATTCGCCTTCTATTAGTATCGGGATCGTTAAAGTTTTTAGCTAAGGGGTCACCTGATTAACTAATTAATGAAGCACAGCAAAGTTGTTCTCTAAACCTTACAGTTTCTTTGAATTTGTATATTATCAATACCTTAAAGACTTATACAATTTGTGAAAGATAGAATTCGTCTCGTTGAAGGAAATTTTCTATCCAAAAGCGTCACGATTGATGGATCTGAATTAACTAGCAAATTACAAAGGCAGGCGTGCGCATGAATCGAATATAATAGTACGATCGAATACTCGACAATGTAATCGGCAAATTAATTGCGGAACCTGGCAAACAACTGTCAGAAGCGGTTAGCGTCGTAAGAAAATAATAGGCATTAAAGCCGAAGTTCACGGTGGAACGATCAGAAGATACGCCAGTGAAGGGCAAGGAAATCGTGAATGCACGTGGGATTGTTCGATAACGAGCTGGTAGTATTAAGGAAATTGGCTGCATCGAATCCCTGATAATTGTTTTATGAATCTTATTAATAGATGAAATTCAATTCAGATGACTCAAATATAGAAGTTAATATTGAGCTCGTTCTTAGCTTATATTATCAAATATTTTTATTGTATACCTCGATATAATTCTTTGGTGATTAAAAAATAATTAACGCAATATAATTGATAAATGAAGCGATACTGCGATGATTGATCGATGACGCGACTAATAGAAATGAAAATAATTTTTCATTTGATGAAACAAAGCTTGTATTAATCACTGATCGTGAATCAGAGTATCGTAATCGATAAGGAAGAGCTTTGCCTTTGCAATTAACATCTAGAAATTTTCAAACCTTATCGGCAATAAAATTCTATTACAAACTGTTTACGTAGTGGAAGCGCGAATAATATGAAACACTCGCAAAAATGAATAAAGTGTGTATATTAAGCAGCCCTTACTTGCTGTTAATTTTGATTTAGCATGGCGCCATCTACTTTTAGAGTCCAGCAGTACATATATCGTCGCATAAATATTTCTTGAATATAGCTCCGTATAAGCGCGATTCAACATCGATCCAATAAATTTTCATCTAACAGATTCTCGATTAAATCGAAACGCTAATCGTGTCATTACAACTTAAGAGAGCCACATTCGTCATACACAAAAACGTTAATCCCCGCTCTCGCCGGATAACATCGTTCCTGGTTCACAGAGGGAGTATGTTTCGTCGTAAAAACAACGTAAAAGCGATTTTAATTCCGCATGCCAGAGTTTTACACAATAAATCGATCGTTCACTTGTACCTCGAACCATTATTGCGTTCGTAAAATCACGATTCGCATATTACCTAACGATAACGCAAAATATTTCCGGAAAGTATTATGCAAGTAAACACGTGATACGCAAAAAGCAATTGTGTCGTTCGTTATGGAATATTTTTTTCCGTATATTACTACGCCCTGCGTTGAGTAACGAGTTAGATAACAAAGAATCGTTGATACCAATACTATAAAACTATGCTTTCAGTTTCAAGTTACACGATAAATAATCGCAAATCATTTGAAAATAATATTAATAAAAAAATACGTGCGTCCATTTAGGCGTTGTAATATAACGATACATGTATTGCGCAAAGTAGCAAGTACGGTACGTAAAGTTTGTATTCTTATCAAGCGAGATAACGTTCGTGGAAATATTGATGCTCAGTTGCTTGGTTTCATTCAGTTGACTTGTCATTATATGACGCTGAAATATAGAAAAACTAATCGAATAAAAACCGGTATACAAACACCGCATCATATCCGCGCGTTTACGTTTCTGTAAGATACAAAATTCTAACTACGTGTTACACGCCTGGCCGCATGGCCGAAATTATTGACTTAGCTGTCGATTCAAAGCGTCTAAAAATTTTACGGTATAGGATTATCATTGAAAGACATCGAATTCGTTATCATATTCGATATATAACCTCAATGGTTTAATTAATACTCTAAATGGGTTTCTTTGTGAAATTGTTATAAATTACGAATTCGAATAAGGTTTGAACGATTATGCTACGACTTGACCACGCGTACGGAAGAGGGCTGACGCGCGAGGGTCAGAAACTAACCCCCAAAAAAATGTATACGTCGTCCCTCGAAGACGAATCACGCTCTGCTCGCATAATCGTGAAAGCATATGAAAATTACAGCACGAATGAAATAGCATTACACCATCATAAGATTTCCGACTTACCCAATGCGTAGAAGAACTCCAGAATTCGATAAACCGGATGAATTCTCACTCACAAACACGAAACTTAACAGCAATCGCGATACAATGGCGAACAGCGGGTGCGTAGCGAATACTGAGCTAATGCTCTCGCCATCTGTCGAGCGTTTCTCTAAGTTGCCGGCAACAAGGACGTTTTCTATTGGACCGTTTCGACCAATCAAAATATAGCATTGGTTTACGCGGGAATGCTTTGGCGGCACGCCGCCATATTGCAAAACCGTTCAAATTGTAAGTTGTTAGACACACTACTGAAAAGATGGACTGTAACAATCATAATATTGATCAATTATTATCATTCGGTAATACAAATTCATGTTTCTGTCTCTATTTTGTTCAATTTGTAATATCTTTTAATATGACAAATTACGAAACTGATAAATAATGTAATATTTGTAAGTGGTATTGCAATATTGTGGAATTCAAGAAAGCCGGATTTCAGATCAATTATACCGAATGTACAAGGAGGTAGACGATGTTGAATCAGAATTATTAGAATGCCAAAAAGAATGTGCAACTACCGAGATAGAAATATATAATGTGAATCAATTGAAAGATAAGGGGACATATGTATTGGAAAATGTGAAGAGAAAATACAATGACTTAGAGGAAGAATTAAAGGAAGTTCATTGTAATTACTTAAAATGCATTGAGAAGACAAACAATGAGACTATTCAACAGAAAATTGATTCATTAACATTACAGAGAGATAATTTGAGAAGAGAATTAGAAGAATTAAGTAAAACAGCAGACGAAAATAATAAAAAAATAATGGCAGTGAAAAAGATGATTAAAATTCAAGAGGTATCCTTTATATATATGTGTGTTATATATATGTATATGTCCGATCGAATTTTCGTATATATTTTTATTTACAGAAGAAAAATATGGCGCTAATACGAAGATTGAAAAAATTTCAGATAACGCCAGATTTAAATGATAGAGTAAATATGATCCTAACTGATCCCAGACTTACCAAACAAAAAAATTCTAATTAAAATAAATTCTGTACAAGTAATAAAATATACATATACATTCTTCATTGTTCATATCTCACAATATCCTTTGTGTAATATTTGTAATACTATTTCTTTATCATTAATGCGAAACATTTCTCTAACCATTCCCTTCTTTTTTTTAATGAATCTATCACATTTACTGACTTATTTAAGGATTGTATCATGCTGTCATTCATGGCCACTATATTTGATCTCTTTTCTGCAATTCTTTTCATTAGAATGGCGTTTTCTTGTTCCATCTCGTTTACTTGTTTTTCCAACAATGCGCTTTCTTCTTTAATTTTCTGCGCATCTAGTGAACGTAAATGTAAGGATACATTGCCCGGTGGTCTCCTAAAACGAAACATATTAATGATTAATCATTAATAATACATTACTGGTCAGACATCGCTAAGAATCCTAGCTTACCAAGTACCTTCGGTCACGGAAGAATTTGCGTCCGATAATTTCGCAACTTTTTCCAATCCTTCCCGCAAGGATCCTTCGTTTAATATATCTTCTAAATCGCCATTCATTTTATCGAGAAGCTCCGAGCACATTGCTTTATGCAACTTTTGCCCCATACTCGGCTTTGTCTTGAGAATTGTAAGAATCGTAAGAGCATCCACGAAAGCATCCTCGCTGAAAGATTTTTAAACTATTTAAATATTTTCATGAAAATCCAGTTGAAAGAGAATGCAAATTTTATTTTGTTTAACTTTATTACATTTTCTTATGAATGTTGATAACTTTTTGTTAGGCTCACTTAACATAATTGTAGTTACACATACATAGAAACTATGTAATACTAGCTATATGTAACGTAACCGACAATGCATCTTGTTCATATTTTCGTATTTTATTTCGTGATTAATTTAATTAACGTGAGATCGGAATATAACAAATAAAATATGAACACGCGTTGCATGTACAACAACTCGGGCGAGTAATATTCCTTTTATACCAACACCTGGCTAAATAAACGTGAATGAGTACGTTCAATGATCGTTGCGTGCATGTAGAGGTTCTACTATCGCTGGGATCAAATTTTTCTTTGTTTACCGTCCACAAAGACTCGCGCGATTGAATGGGGGAGAACCAGTATTCGGACGAGCCAATCCAGTTTTATAGTATTATAGTCGAAGCATACAATACTAACCCGTAATCGTTGCACAATTTCCGGAATTTTTTCATGTATTAATGTGATAATTAATGAGAAATCTTTTTCACACAATTATGAAAATGCAAAAACTGCGTGGTTTATCTTTATTAACATTTATATCCGATATATTATCTTTATTACATTTAATACAATGTAATTTTAAGAAAAATCCAATCATAAACTAATCATAAGCATCTATAAACTAATCTTCAGGGAAATTTACAATTAACATATGATTTTTAGAATGACGAAGAACATATATTTTAAATATATTGTAAATTACATTTCTTATGAAAAGTGCAGGAAATTACTAACATAAAAACTACACCTTCGATTCTTCCGCTGATTTACGCGCACTCAATCAGGCCGGGACGGGTGCAATTTGATGTCAATACTACATATTTGCATTAGTCCTGACCTAATTGAATACGCTTCGTGGCATGTTCCTCCATCGTTGAATCTCGATTTCATCACGATTGATCTTCTCTTCGCTTCTATGAGGTCATCGAGAAAAAATGTTATCGCAACTTTTTATATCGTAAAGAGAGAATTACGCAATCGTTAAAAAAAATTACATAAACGATAGAAGTAAACTAAAACGACGAAGAATGTAATTGTACAGACAACACGTTCGTCACTGATTCATTCCAACGTGAAAATAACGGACAGGCAGAGGTACCCGTACGATCCCCACGACACGTACTGTACGAATGATAGAGCCGAACGATGGTGACCACATCAGGGAGGGACCAGGGACCCTTTGTTTCCTCGAACACTTCGTGGAATTCTTCGAAGGTCAACTGGTGTGTTGGGTTTCAAAGAGCGGTAGATTCTAGGAAGCGGGTACCGAAGGAAACTAATTTCGAAAATCGACCTGTCTCGCTCATAGAACCGTCAAACAGCAATGGGCAATTGTTGGGCCACGTGAACACCGACAAATTAACATGCGACGTCCAGAGAGGCCAATGACATCGAGTAACACCATCACTCGTTTGGGTCATTGACGATCCCCCCTTTCCCTCCACCACCTCTTCACTCCTTCTACCGCTGATAAACGAAACATCAAGCTCTCTAAAACGTATTATATACAACGTCCTGATCTGCTCCCGCTGGTTATGTGTTCCCTTTGGCTTTCTTAATTAAAGAAGCATTCTTGACCGCAGTTCGTACTTGACACACTTACGTTGGCAGTACTGTTATCGTACAAACGTATATGAGAAAAACATAACCTGAAATTCAATGACAATCTGGCCTAGCCCGGATTTATACCATACAAATATTCCGTGCTTCATTTATTTTAGCTTAATACATAAATATTATTTATCAGAACATGTCATTTATGATATTTATTATGATATTTATTTCTTATGATATTTATTTCTTAGCTTCATTTTTAAGAATATATTCACAAGCTTAAATATCGTTTCACGCTACATTGTTTGAATATCTGTATTATCACAATTGAGTTATTTATGCAATAACCAATGTACATATTATGCAATGTTATTGAAAACATATTGCCAATATGTATAACTTATAATTATAAAAAAATCTACAAAGAGATATTGATAAATACAGTAGAGATTTGTTTGAATATTAATTGGAGGCGCATGCGTCTACATATGTATGTGTATAAAAGAACCGCGAACCCCAAGCTATGAAAGGTTGCATAACCTCTAAACATTAGATCCTTTCATAAATATAATATTGTAAATAATATATTCTATATAAATCGTAACAAATATTACCTGTCTATGTGTCTAAATTGACTAAAGTTACATCTTTGTTATCCGAAATAATTTACTTACCTCACTGATTCTGCGATGCGTTTAAAACTGTTTAAAATAGCTAGTCGAAATAAGAAAACATTGTTTGGATGTCCCTGTTCCTGATCCTCCGCCATTCTCGATCGAATTGTGTACAATCACAGAATCTTCGAATTTGAGTAACTGAACACTTCACCGAAAGCTGAATATAACGGTTCTTTCATTCTATAGAGTACGGACCAGTACTTTCGCGTCTCCTGAAACTGTTGGAAATAATTCAAATCGTCTAAAAGTATGTCGAGAACTTTGAAGTAGTTTGAAACGCTACGTATAGATGGCAGTTTTGTGCTTGACATCATCTTCACTTGAATGTTACCAACATCTCTCTACCAACATCAATATGTTTGTGCATGTGATTACTGATATTTAAATTTAGAAGAAAAAGTATTTCTTTCAAGAGAAAAAGGTATAAAATAATTAAACAATTACTGGATAGAGTATTACAGCTAATATTAAACTGCGTGTAATATTTTTCTTTTTAAATATTACTATTAAAGATATAGCATGTTATAATGTTCCAGGAATCAATTTTAGTAATCAATAATAAATCTAAATGTTACTCAACTAAAGTGAAAACTACTTCATGCGAACAAAACGAGCTGTAGGAATGGCAAAAGTCTATGACTAATAAGGACAGAATTGAAGATATACATACATGTATGTATAAGCAGATATAAGTAACTAACAATTAAAACAGATGCTGCGACGAGCCTCGCAATAACTTACTTAGATCTAATTAACATTCCTCTCAAATTAAACACGTATGTTATTCGAGTATCCTAATCACCTATATCAGTATTAATTAGATCTAACGTCAACTTTAATTAGCATGTCTTCCTTACTAGTGAAATCTACCAAATGATATGTCACGACAGAATTGTTATTTTCGATTTACAAAGATGCACACTGATATACTCGGCTAACTAAAATAACAACATTCATTCTTTTTCATTTGTTAAAAACATAAAAATAATTATATCTGATATTTCAGACTCAATATAACCGCAAGTCAACTCATGGCTAAACTTGCCATGTAAGAAGCATGATACTAATCGATAGAACCGAAATTCACAATAGGTTAGATGCTTCGACGACACAGTCGCGCATCGTTCTGAGCTAGTGGTTCGAAGGGCTTGCTCTTATATTCCTCAGCTTCCAAGGCGAACAGGTCGTGAGTCCGGGTGTCGATATACAAACTACCAGACTAGAAATTGGATCATCTAACTCTATAGCTTGGGGCCAATGGTTTTCAGCTTCGTTACATGACTGCACCCCTACCTTCAGAGAATATCGGTGTTACAACCGTTCCGCTATATCTTCAACTTCAAAGGTCAACGTTGACGCTGGAAGAAGAGACGTTCGCTGTTACCGCAGATTCTCAAAGTAGCTCGCATTGAGTCGAACCGATGTGATGCGCCTCCGCTCCATTATGCAACCGGCCTGAACTATATTTTCTTTCCCCGTAGCCGTGAGCCAGCTCACGGAGAGAAGGCTCAGAGCGCTACCGTGGGCACCCATTCACTCGCTCACTCCGGAGACGACCGACCCTCTTAAATCGAGAAAACGGCATCTTCTCGACCAGTTTCGATCACATCGATCGCGATCGAGAAAGATCCCGGATCGAATGATCGCAATACGTTTTCAAATTCCATGGAACAGGATTTCATCCGTGGCGTTCTATAACAAAAGATGGCTTTACCAACGTCCCTTTGTTCTCTCGTTCCTTTTACTATCCTCATTCTGGTCAATTACATCGTTCGTCTTGGTCGTAGCCCGGAGGCAGTTAGGTAGATGGAGAAATGTTTAAATTTTATATGTTGCAGCGAACGCGAAACGATTATCATCACGATGATGCGCTCGGTATCCCGGATGAAAGTACTAGCACGTATTTTAAGAATTCCAATACGCAAGAATCATCCGTCAATTGCGTCAGGCTGCTGCATAGAATTGCGAGAAAATAGTTCGGACGCGGCGAACGTGTGTTCATCTACTTTGTCATCCTCCCTGTTATCATCGCTATACCACCCACGTGGTTGCGTCAGAAAGTACCAGAACTATCTAAACCGCAAATATTTCCTTCCTCCGTCGACCTCTGTGGCGTGGCTCTTTCGAAATGGTATCATCATCTATATAGCGAGATTGTAACAAAGCAAGGCTCAGGAGTCGATAGGAGGGAGGCATTATGCGTGCAATCCCTCCTATTCGAGATCATTATTCAATAACGACGTGTGAGCCGCTTCCGCAATTCGCGTTCGTGTCTTATTCTCTTAGAATTCGTACCGAGGAGAAAGTTGATTGGAATTGTCGTCTGATTATTCTGATTACGGGAATAGCATCGTGTCACTGGGGCACGAAATTGTTTCTCTTTACACATGCATATACCACGCTGTGTGCATAACTGCAATTAGCCAATCTATCAAACCTGTACGTTTCTTAATCCATTAAACTGCAACCTCTCCAGATGAACAAACAGTGATATTTCTGTTGCGCAGTGTACATTGAAATCTTAAATAGATAGATGTTGATGGATGTTTCAACGAGACAAAGGTTCCGATATTCTCACTAGACAAGACAGAATGACAATAAGGTCAACCCTTTCCCTAAAAAAAAGATACAAGCGCAACAATAAGGGAAAGGTTAAAAATCTTTTGTTTCTCTTACAAAGTATCACGCAGTAGCACCATATTCGGGTTTTACAGGGAAGATCAGGTGTCTTGGAAAACGATGTAACATTAGATCGCTTATTACTTGACTAGGATCCCGTCTTCTCATGCACAATCCTTTTTTGGCGACAGCGCCCACTGTTGGAGCGCAGTTCTCGATGAAGCGTTTCGCCGATGAACCTCACCTCTGGCATAACACGAGCAGCAAGATAGATGAATGCGCGGATAGCGCGCCAAAGGGCTGGGTCTTCTCAAAGCGTATCGGTGTGTTCGGTGACTCGATCCGTTTAGAAAGCATTCTAGTCTTTCCGTGCCCAGGTATACATTGTCTCGAACGTTCGTGGTATCCTATTATCGAGACCCTGGCTCACGATTGCCCTGTTTTTTGCGAGAGCCGCACCCCTGCATCAGCTAATTCGAATTGCTAGCAATCTACCAATCCTATCGATCATCGAATCACGCTGATTTCTGTATTCTGTCCAACGTTCCTGTTCGATTCCCGGTATCTTTTTTCATCGGATCAGATCTGAAAGATCCGATGTTCCACGGATCGAATTTGTTACCAGCGATCGGTAGATAAGCGTATTAACCCTCATCCAAGTGTCAGCTGTGCCAGTTACTTGCCTGAAGCGAATTTGAAGAATTTAGTAGTCGACTAAGCGTAACACGGATAGGGTCACTGGGTCTCCTTTGTGTGAAATTTCCTGAGAAATTCGAGGTCGTAAAGCTGGTGGAGCAAAAGCTGAACAAATAGATGAGAAATACATGGGAAAGAGCGGCGTGATTTATAGTTTTCCGAAGAACTGAGTTTACTTATGCCGCAGTGCCAGTCGCGTTGTCGAACCATCAAAGCAAGTCCGTGAAAGCCACGGGACTATAAATCGATTTTAGAAATTAAAGAGTTTACATAACTACGAAGAGCATTCTGAGATAACTCGTTGGGGGAGTGAGATGGATTACCTCATCGATTCAGGAACTTTCTTTCACAAACGTTTATTATAAGCATCATAGGAAGAAAGTACGACCGATTACGCAAGACATTTCACTCACCCTTAGGCGATACACGTGTAGTAGAGTACATATTCGACACGATGTCAAAGCGATTGTATCGGAAGCATGCAATCTACAGTGTCGACTACTCCTAATCGATTCTCTCATTCGCTCTCTAGATTGGAATTACTT